AAGACATTGAATTTAAATAAGGCCATTTAACATCTTTACCATCAGAACCAGAAGCTTTTGGTTTCTTTAATTTGGAGTAATAATCACAAAGATGTTTCCATTTCTGTTTGGCAGATTTAACATCTGTAAATTTTAGCAAAAATTTAAAAATAAAATAAAAATAAAACCATCAAATCCACTTTGTTCAGCAATCGATAACCAAATTTTATCATTTTTGTTTTTGTCTTTATGTTCGCTGTGCCCTTTACGCCAAATTATTTCATTCTGTTGTATCATCTCAATAAATAAATTCATATCAATTTTGGTTGACATTTAAAAAAATATTTTTTTATCTAAAAAGAAGAAAAAATTATTTAGATAAATTATTTTAGAGTTAAAATACAATTTTTAAAAATTACTACCCTTCAAAAGGGCCCCCCTTTTCAATTTTACAAAAAAATTAACAAAAAGTATACCTTTTTCAAAAAAAAATTTGTGATAAAATTTCAAACTTAAAAAATAAAAACTTATATCAATCGATAGATAAAAGTTTAAATTTTAATAATCTTTTTAAATTTTTAAAATTGGTTCAATATTGATCGAGAAATTAATTTTTTAATTTTATCAAAAATTTTCCGCAAAAAAATATCAAACTGTTTTGATATTAAAATTCTTCCGCCGGCGGAAAAAACGCAGCGGAAAACGCAATTTATGTAGACACTCAAACTGCCGAAAAAACGCTAGCGTTTTTTCCGCCGGCGGAAAACGCAACTTATGTAGACACTCAAACCGCCGAAAAAACGCTAGCGTTTTTTCGGCAGCGGAAAACGCAATTTATGTAGACACTCTCAGTTTGCCGAAAAAACGCCGGCGTTTTTTCTCTCTCACTTTTCCATACTATTTTCTGCGGAAAACGCGCGCGTTTTTTTATGTAGACGTAGCATAAGGATCAAAACAATTTTCAATTACAAATCAGAATTTGTAATATAAAATTACAATTTTTAATTATTTTTTCTTCCCTTCCTCCATTCATGAATTGTGTTGTAGTTCAATCTTTTTTGTATACATTTTTTAATAAATATTTGTCTGCATATTGTCGGGTTTTATAATATTTTTTTATTTAATGCTTTTTTTTCTTCTCCTTTGCGCTAAAAATAAAAATATTATAAACGTCTTTTATTTTCACATATTTTTCATTTTTTCCTTTCCGTTACATTCTTCCAAAGGAGAGGATTGCTTTTTCACATTTGCCCCGTTGACAAATTGGCAACCACCACCACCAACGGTTGGAGGGAGGGAGAGAGATTCATTTGAGGAATATACAAGAGTTGAGTTGTTCTTCTTTCTTTTGTTTTGTTGTTTTTTATTTAGCATTTATGCCAACAAAAAAACAAATATATATAAAAATGCGTAAATATGCTTGTCTACAAATTCTTCCATTTTTTCAATTTAATGCCTTTAAGCATTTAATATAGGAAGAGAAATATGGGGATAAAAACAGAATTGTATGTATATACAAACTTGAATTAGACCGTTAAAAATAAACTTTAACTCCCATTTTGATACCTAAAGTACAAAAATAATTACAAAATTCAAGGCACAAATTAAATTGAGTTACAAATTTACAAAACCTATTTTTACAATTCAAGTTTAAAAAAGAATTAATAAAAGGAAAAGTTCAGAATTAAATCAGAACTTATTTTTCAAGTTTGTAATTCAAGTTTATTTTTTGAAGTTTGTATTTCAGGTTTGAACTTGTAAAGTCCGTTAAGAAATTATAAGAACAAGCATTTTTTTGGTGTTTCTTATCTTTCCTATGTTCAATCGTAACAAAATTTTTTTTAAAAATAGATGTTCTGAAAATATTAGGATTTTGAGAGTTTAAGAAAGTTTTGGTGAAAAATAAAATTTTTATGATTTTTTTTCTAAAAATGGTGTGTTAAGAAAATATAAGAACAAGATTACAATCCTTATTTTCTATGCTATAATTTTTTCAAAAATTCTGAAAAAATTCCTGTGAACATTTCCATCAATATGGAGTAGAAAAGCAAAAAGAACGAAGTTTATAACTCCTTCCTTCATTGAGATATAAAAACCTCAAAATCAACGGAAAACCGGGTTACAGTACTTAAAAAAATATTTTGACCCCCTTAGGCGTTATATAAAAAAATTATTTTAGGCCCTCCAGAAAGCCGACAAAATTTGCTACAAAAAACATTTGGTCCCATCCTTGAGAAAAATTCTCCAATTGAGGACTCAACGGTTAAATTTAACTGTCAGAAATAATGACAATTTATGGGGTAATTTGAGAGAATTTATTTATCTACTCTTTTAACAGGTAGCTTCTCAATGATATATTTTTTCTCAAGGATGGGACCAAATGTTTTTTGTAGCAAATTTTGTCGGCTTTCTGGAGGGCCTAAAATAATTTTTTTATATAACGCCTAAGGGGGTCAAAATATTTTTTTAAGTACTGTAACCCGGTTTTCCGTTGATTTTGAGGTTTTTATATCTCAATGAAGGAAGGAGTTATAAACTTCGTTCTTTTTGCTTTTCTACTCCATATTGATGGAAATGTTCACAGGAATTTTTTCAGAATTTTTGAAAAAATTATAGCATAGAAAATAAGGATTGTAATCTTGTTCTTATATTTTCTTAACACACCATTTTTAGAAAAAAAATCATAAAAATTTTATTTTTCACCAAAACTTTCTTAAACTCTCAAAATCCTAATATTTTCAGAACATCTATTTTTGGTACTTTCCTGTTATGACGCAACAAATTTAAATTTTTTTAAAAAAGCTAAAAATGTTCAAAAATAGTAATAATAAGCATAAAAATTTTTCCCCCTTTTTCCCACGTGTTTTCCCACCTCAGTGGGTGTTTGGCGGAATTTGTGCTTTTTTTGAAGCAAAAATGGGAAAAAATTTTATGGTTCTTTTTGAAGCAGATGATAAGCACAAATTTCCCGCATATATTGACCGTAGTGTTTTGTTCATGACTAACTCTTAACTGTCTTAACTGTTTGTTCATGCCTAACTCTTAACATGCCTAACTCTTAACTGTGTTGAGCATTTTTAGCTTTTTTAAAAAAATTTAAATGTGTTGCGTCATAACAGGAAAGTACCCTATTTTTAAAAAAAATTTTGTTACGATTGAACATAGGAAAGATAAGAAACACCAAAAAAATGCTTGTTCTTATAATTTCTTAACGGACTTTAGTTTATTTTCATAAGTTTGCAATTTCAAGTATTTATTCTGGTTTATTAATAAGCTTGAATTGCGAACTTAAGAAATAAAAAAACAAGTTCAAACCTGAAATGCAAATTTTAAAAAATAAACTTGAATTACAAACTTTAAAAAATAAATTCTGATTTAATTCTGAACTTTTCTTTTTATTAATTCTTTTTTATTTACAATTCTCCCCCTTCTCTTTTTCATTTAAAAATTTTCTTTTTCCCCCAGCTTTGCCAAAAATCTCAAAAAACTTTTTTCTGACATTTCCGCTAACATTTTCTTTCATTTGTTAAAAACATTTTTTATTTTTCATTTGTAAGTTTATACTATTTAGTATAGTTGTTGTTTTTTGATGTTGTCAGTGACTAGTCTTCACATTTCAATTATTTATTTGATGTAGATATCAAAAAAACTGACAGGTAAATTTTAAAATTATTCGCATGCCAAGAAAATTAATTTTAAATAATTCTTGATTAATTTTCTTAAATTTTCTGATTTTTAAAAAGTTTACAAATTGTAAAACAAAGTTGATTATTAATACAAAAATAAACTTGAATTGTAAACTTAAAATTGTAATTAAATTCTGATTTAAAATCTAAGTTTATTTTTAAAATTCTGATTAAAATCCAAGTTCATTTAATTACCAACTTTAATTCTATCGCAAACTTGATTTTAATTTAATTCTGATTATCTTCTGACTTTTAATTTTATTAATACTCTCTCTCTCTCTATCTGAAATTCCTCCTCAAAAATTAAACTGAACTTTAAAATTTTGATTAAAATTTTCTCTTCTAAAAATACAAAGCTTTTTATTTTTATTTATTTTTCAATTTGTTTGTTTACATATATCCAATTTCTTTTTTTTTAATTATTTTTATTTCAATTTTTTCTTTAATCAACGGGCAAAGGAAAAATGTCTGTTCATTCTGTTCTAAAAATATTATTTTTTAAAAATAATTTAAAATGCAAAAAGAACAAATTCCCGTTTTACTTTCAAAGTCCCCCTCATTCATTTGATTTTTCATCCAATAAAAATAATAATAAAATTTTATAGATTCCGCAAAGTATTTTTAGGGTCTACCACTCCCCCTTTATACGAATTTTATTTTAACAAATAAAAAATAAATACAAATATTTTTTAAACCGACTTCTCCTTTCCTTCTTAATTTTGGACTGATTTTAAATTTATTCAAGTTTTGTTAATTAAGTTTGTAAATTTAATTTATTATAAAATCAAGTTTGTGAATATCTTAATTATTAATACAAAAATAAACTTGAATTGTAATCTTGAATTATAAACTTAAAATTTTTCTAACTTCAAGTTTGTGATTTATATTATATTTTACTTGATACAAAAATAAACTTGAATTGTAATATTTAAATATGTAATTGTAAATTATTAGTTGAAAATAAACTTGAATTGTAAAATTTTAATTCCAACTTACAAAACAAACTTGAATTACTTTTAATTACTTTTAATTGCAAACTTGAAGTTTAAACTTAAAACTTTTTTGTAAATTCAGGTTTCTAGATTTATATTATTTCTGTAATTATTAATACTAAAATTAATCTGAATTGTAAACTTTAAAGTATTTAATTATAAACTTAAACTCTACAACAATCTACAAATAAGTATCACTTAAAATATTTTGCTCAAATAAAAATTATAAAAACCAACAAAAAATAGTTTACACAGCAGGAATTAATCCAACTAACAAAAATAAAATTAAAAATAAAAATAAAAACTGTTCGGCCTCTGAATGTAAACTATACAGCGTGTGGAGTTTGCACACGCTGTAGTAGTAGATTATGTGGGTGGAGGACAAAAACAACAAAAGGATTAAATGTTTGAAAGGGAGAATTTGGTTGTTGTGGTGTTCGCCACTTTACAACAGGTAAAAAAATAAATTTAAATGAAAATGTAATGCCTAGGCTTGTTTTAAATTAATTTAATAAAAAATACAAACACAAACTTAAAGATTTATTGTCAACGCTTTCTCCTCTCTACATTTTCTCAAATATTTTTATTAATATATTCCTCAATTGCTGATTATCAAAAAAATCCTCCAAATATGTTTGGTTGCTCCCTTCCAACTGGGGAACCAATGTGTTGTTCTGGAAGAAATTCAAGTTGTAAATCAATGGAATACCCGGCACAATCTACAATATATAGGTAATTTATTATTGATACAAACTTAACGGAAAATTTAAAAAATATTTTTAATCATTCCAAATTTTCAAATAAATTCTCAAAAAATAGGTTCAACATTAATCCTTCCGACATTTCACCTGTTTACTGTCGACCAAAAAGACAAATTTATTCTCAAACTGTTTTAAACAATTCTTTCACCATACAAAATTTAATTACTAAAAACAATGCAACTACAAATAATGGTATGTATATCTAAGTATAATAAATTTATAATACACTTTATAAATCTAATAATTACAACAAGAAATACTGACAAAAACTAAATAAAAATAAACTTGTTTTACAAACTTGGTTTAATTAATAAACTTAAGTGTCGCAAACTTAGGTTTTTTAAAATAAACTTGAGTTGTAAATTAAACTTAATTTGTAAACTTAAATTAAATAATTAAAAGTTTTAGAATCAGCAGCATTAGAATTACAACTTGAAAATACCAGAATAGGTTTTACAAACATCTTACCCGGTTTAGTAGCTATATCACCTGCTGGTCAACAATTATTAAATAAATTTGGAATAAATAATTGTAAAATTTTAATTTAATTTTTAAAAACAAAAATTACACAATTTTAGTAAATGAAAGGAATTTACGTCTTTTTGAAGTTACAAAACCAAAGAAAAGGAGAAAAGGAAGGAGGAGAAAACGTCTTTCAAAAGGGCAGGAAGAATTAATTATTGAGAATCAGATTCCCCAACAATCAAATAAAGATTATGTCTTTCATTTTGGTTGGCCTGTTGAGCATTGGGATATTGAGAATTTTGATAAGTTAATTACTGATGAACAGGGCTGGCCTTTAATTAGGTAATATATAGGCAAAATGTTTACTTATAATTAAACTAGGAGTATGACGAAACTGATTTTAAAGAGAAAGGCCAAATTGGCACTCCCTGAGATATATCCAATACATGATACGCCTCAATTTAAGATATAGTAGCCAGTGGCCCGAAATTTTCCAGTAAAAAATTGTCCCCCGTCCCAATCCTCCCACGTAAAAAAAAATTTTCCTCGTAGCCCCTCCCCCTCGTTGGGAAACAACCCTAGTATCCACTGAGTGGAAAACCTTTCTTTTCGATGCCCTCTCTTTAAAATACTCTTATTGGCAAATAACTACAATTATAAAAATTTTTTAAAATAAATTTCAAAATATTTATGTAGATACTCACTTCTAAACAAATATTTGCCTCTTCGGGTACTTAAACGTAGCCATACAATGGGTGTTGTTAAAGGCAGACAACAAACTATTTGGCATACTTTCAATGTTGCCGAAGCTCCAAAAGAGTGTTTCTGTGATCAAATGTGTGTAAAGTATGGGGATTGTTGTGGGGATTATGCTTATCGATGTCCTGGTAATTTTTTTAAATTTTTTTTTTGATTTTTAATTATAAATATTCACAAGATTTTACCCTTTCCTTCGATTTTCCTTTCATTTATTTTAATAATTTAAGCAAACTTTAAAGTACAATTATTTTATTTATAATTTTTTCTACCTTCTTTCAGAATAAAAAAAGATTGAAGGGACAAACTCCATATTTCCTAGTTATTTTTCAAACAAATTGCCCTTTTTTTAATTTAATTGACAGCTTAATTATTAGCAAATGTCAATTGTTTAAAGTGATAAGCAGAAAAATTAAAAGAAATTAAAAATAAAAATAATAATTAAAAAATACTCTCTTTTAGTCATTCTCCACTTTTCAAATAATTTTTCTCTCAAAAATAAAATTTTTTGAATCCAAACCTCCTTCCAAAACCCTTCCCAAAACCTTCCAAATAAATAAATGTATTTTACAAAAAATATTTTTCTTTTTCTATTAATTTTTAATTTTACAATTTTTCCCTCTTTCCAACAAATAACATCCTTAACCGATATATTCACCTTCTCTTTTAAACTTTTTTCTGAAACATTAACTGGAACTAGTATTTTAAATGCTTCTAGTTCAAACACAAAAATAGATTATCTTAATGAAACAAATAATGGAAATAATAGTAAAATATGCCGTTTAATTAATTCTACAAATGAAAAAGGCAAAAATAATTTTTGTAATTTTATTTAATTGAGATTAATTTTATGCCAAAAATACAAAGTTAATAAAAGAAAAATAAAATTTTAAAAGATTTTAAAATAATTGGGCGTCCAACGGCACAATTCCAATGACACAAAATAATAAAATACAAAAAATAAAATATTTCAGCTGTTGATTGTCTTATCTCCCAATGGACTTCTTGGTCCGACTGTTTTGTTGAAATGCCAGAAGCAGATTGTGGTTTAGGGTTTCGTGAAAGACATCGACAGGTGTTGAACCAAGCAGAAAATGGTGGTATAGAATGCCCGTCTTCATTGACACAACAAATTGGGTGTTTCAAACAGTGCGAGGCTAACATAGAGGAAAGGGTAGATTTGGGAGAGGAGGAGGAATATACAAGGCCAGGTTAATTGGATTGGAATAAATATATTTATTTGAATTCTTACTTAAAAATGTGGTTGTCCCAAGGACGAGCTGCCTAAGCTATCTCTAAAAGGGGATAGTACGCTTAATATGCAAGGAGGATACCTCCTCTTTAGAACCTTAGAGCTATTGTAAGTGTTATGAAAATTGTATGTGTTATGTCCGAAGGACACAACAGTAAAGGACGATTTTTTCAGCCAAAAGGGGTTATTTAAAAATAGGGGTGGGTGACTGTGATTAAGCAAAATAGAACGTACATAAAACTGAAAAATGCTTATTTTAAAGATGTAACAACGGTTGCCTTATTGCTTGATTACCGCTTTAATAAATCAAGAAAATTTCTTCCTCGTCATTTGAAGAAAACACAAATTGGATTTAATAGAAGACGGATGAAAGAGCAATATAAAAAGTAGAAATATTTTAAAAGAATTTTTAATTAAAATATTTTTAGTTATTGTGTTATCTACACAATTGAATGGTTAAATCGGAATTGTATTGAAAAGGAATGGAGTGACAAATTATCGGCCAAAAAACGAATTTGCGGTGAATGCCAACCTGAAGCACAATATCATAGACCTAGAGAACGTTGCGCTTCTGGCGAGTATTTATTAATTATTTTAAATTACAATTTGTACATAAACTTAAGTTTACAAATAAACTCGAAATTAAATTACAAAGTCAACTTTTAATGATAACATTGAATTTGCAATCTTTATTTAAAAAAATAAACTTTAATTTAAATTATAATTGAAATTTTAAATTTAAATAAATAAACTTGAATTAAAAATTCAATTACAAATTCTAATTACAAAAAGAACTTTATTTTACAAACTTAATTAATTAATTACAATTCTGATTAGTTACACACAATAATTTAAAAAATAATTATTTTTATAGATCTAGAAGATGGCCAAACCGGTTTCTGGAAACTTATTGGGCCAACATCTTGTTATGGCATTTGGCGAAGACATTATTCAGATTCAAATGACTGTAATTGTTCTCAAAGTTATCCCCAATTTGAGCCATTCTTGCTAGTTTAGATTTTTTATTTTATATATTTTTATGTAAAATACTCATACCCCTTCCCGATTTTCCCGCTTTTGATCACAAAATCAAAGCTATTTTTATCAGATTAATTATTAAATATTTACATTCCACATTATATTACCTAAATAGAAAAGGCTTGGATGAATATGTAGATGTATTTTAATTTACATTATTACAAACTTTATTTAAACTTAAGTTCCAACTTGTTTTACAAACTTGAATTTTTACATACTTTATTCACTAAATAGTATTTTCAACTTTTCTTTTCAAAATTTTACAAACTCAAAATTAAAGTTTATTTTAAAGTTTGTAAATTACTCAAAAATACCAGTACTTTTTAATAAAAATATAGTATAACTACATATGCATTTAGTAATTGTCCAATTTCTCTTTAATAAACAAAAAATATTAATATACGCAATAAACCATATACTAATCATAATTTCTTTTAATCTTTAAACATTTTTAGTTTTTCCAATGAGATTTAAACAAAATATTTTCTAATGTTATTCTATACATATACTTAATAAACAAATAATTTTGCAGAATAAAAATTTTTCTACGATTTTTAAGTTTCCAAATTAAAGCTAAAATTATTGAAAAAATTTTAGCTTGAAAAAGCAAATAATATAATAAAAAGATTTTTTAGCTTAACAATTTTCTGCAGCGAAAAATGCAAAGCTGGAAGAAAAAACGACTCACGATATTTATTGAATTGATTATTTATTTTTTTAAACGTAGACAGCGTGAAGAGAATAAAAATAAATATAGAAAGAATATACATATGTATAAAGCCCCCCCCCTTTATTCCTAAAAATATCCACAACCAGTCGACATCACAATACTTGCTGTTTCTTTTTTTAGTGCTTCTTGCTTCACTTCCTTTGCATGCCAAAAACAACAGCTGGTGCCGATTATTTGAGTCTCCAAGTTTATTTATATTTTTGTATCTAGTTTACAAATTAGAATTTAATTGCAAAAATAAAAACTTAAGTTTACAAATCAAAATTTAAAATACATATTAATTTTCTATTAGAAATCAGAATTTTAATAAACTTAAGTTTACAACCTAATTACAACTTTACGAACCAGAACACATTAATTAAACTTAAAAACAAATAAGAATTCAAGTTTACAAATCAGAATTTTAATAAACTTAAGTTTACAACCTAATTTAAAAATCAAAAAACATAATTACAGACCAGAACATAACTGACTTAAAAACAATATAAAAATTTAAGATAACAAATCAGAATTAAACTATACTACATAAATATTTCCATTCCCTTAAAAATTCTACCCAAAATGAGACTCAAAAATTATTTTTTTGCTAACAATTGCAGCAAAATAATCGATTTGGGTAGAGGGGACCGGCTGGTTATTTTGTCTGCTGAAATTCCAGCTGCTGTTTCTGCTAAATATGACAAAAAGAATTTGCAGTACTTTTCTAAATATGTACTCTCTACATCATGAGAAAAACTTTTTTAAGTACAGTATAATTCGCTGCATTTGCTAATTCGAGTCGGAAAATGCGAGAAACCGCTAAAAATGAACAAAGAAAATTCCTAACCAATTAGAGAGGTAGACAGAAACTGGTCCCATCATTAAAAATAGTTGTCTGATTTTGATCTAATTATTTTGTTGAGCAACACGTTTAACAACAATGCTACCTAAAAATTATTTAATTAACTAAATAATTAGTTTAACATTATTTTTTCTTCTAATAAAATATTTTATTTTACAAATTCTGATTTTTATTTTCTTTAATTTACAAATTATTCTGATTTATTTATAAATTCAAGTTTATTTAAATTCTGATTTGTACTCTTAAGTTTATTTTTTAAAGTTTATTTTTAATTTAAGTTTATTTTTCATTCTGACTGTTAGTCTTAAGTTTATTTAAATTTTATTTCAGCTAAAATTAAAGTTTATTTTTACTTATACTATTAAGTTAATTTTACAAATTCTGATTTGTAATCTTAAGATTATTTAAAATTTAATCGTTAGTTTAAAATTCTGAAATATAATTTAGAAATACTTTGATTATTCATTTTCATTTGTAATTTTAATTCTGATTTACAAACTTACATAATTGATCTGATCTCAAAAATTAAAACTTACAAACTTGCCATTAATTTTAATTGTCTAGCACCCTAAATTTTCTTTTAATTTGTTTTATGTTTTTATATCTGCCTTCTTCACTTCATTGTTATATATTTATTCGTGGCCGACACCGACACGAACCGATGGGCTAAAAAGAATCGACAACGGTGTGAGGACGATGAAGACGGGGTTGGGAAGTATTTTAGAAGAAGACCTCATTGCTTTTTCTGCTGCCCTTTCGCGGTCGTGGAGATGTGATGATGATGGTTGGGCTGTTGTAACGGCGGCGCAGAGCACCGGAGACAGGCACTGACGTCCACCACCCGTGCTTTGCCCCCTTTTTTTACCAATCCAAACACAATTCGTCGTCATCGCCTTCCCACATCTCCCTCCCCGTCCACTCATCCCTTCTTTATTGCGCCGGATTTTCTCATTTTTAATTTCTTTGAAAATTTTAAAAGGACATTTATTTTTGTTGGCATTTGTAAGACTTTTAATTCCTTGTTGATTCCTTGTTAATAATTTATTTTTTATCCTTATTTTCTAATTTCCTTATAATTTAAAATTTTCTTTATCTAAATTTCCTTAATTATTTTTTAATTTAATTTTTGCTTAAATCTAAAATAGTCCATAAATAATTTTCCAAAATCTCTTGACACCAAAAAAAAATTTTCTTTTTTTTTTAAATTTTTGCCCTTCAAATCTAACCAATAATTCTTTTCTCATTTAAAAGAGCGAAGCGCCTACCAATAAATATAAATACACTTTTTAGCCCACTGACCCAGACAACTCAAAACCCCCTTCCCCCCACCACCACCCAGCACCCGCACATCCTTCACAATTTTTCCATTTTCCCTTCCAATCCATTTCAATTGACCACCATCACCAAATTGTCTTCCCCGACAAATAAGGGGATTGTCATTTTGTATATATTATTGTTTGGGTGATATTTAGAGCGATATTGGGGTTGGTACAAGCTGTGAAGATTAATATACAAAATGATTTATATGAATTAAAAAGCAAAAGGCAAAAAAATTATGTTAAAGCATGTAAATTTTGTGAAAATTAGATATTATCTATTTATGTAAATTATTTATTTAATTTTTACAATTTCTTAATCTCAACAAAATTATTTTTCACAACTCTTAAAAAATTAAAGAAAATCAGAAATAATTTTAAAAACATCTTTAAATAATCATTTTTATGTTTGCGCCTAAAAATGTTCGCGCCTAAAAAGACATTAATGTTTTGATTAAATTCTGATTGTCTTTTAATGGTGTTTGTTTAATTTCTGATTTTATTATTATAATTGTTTAATGTTTTTCTGATTTACTTTATTAACCAGAATTTTTGTTTCAAGTTGTTTTGCAAAATTTCCTTTTCAAGACAACAAACCAAAGTTTTTGAATTATTAATAGATTTTTTACTTAATTTAGAAACCATTCTATTTTTGAATTTTATGTTTTAATTTTATTACTCTGTTTAAAAATTAATGTTTGCTTTTTAAAATATTTTTTAATGTTCTTCTTTTGTTTCTTAATCTTTGTTTCTTACTATTTTTTTACAAAACATCAGTATGTAATTTATGTTTTTAAAACAAATTTAAAAATTAATCTTAAAAACTTCTTTTAAAAACATCCTTTAAAACCCGCATTTTTCATATTTGCGCCTAAACAACATGAATGTTTTAATTAAATTCTGAATTCCCAATATGTTCTGTTTAAATCCCTAGTCATGTTTTCTTAATATTCTGATTTTAGTTTGGTCAATTATTTATGTTCGAATCATATTCTGATCTTCACTTAGTTTTTCTATTTCTTTTCTTTTCTTTATATTTTATGTTTTTCTTTTTCCATTTATTAATTCAAACATCTTTATTGCGAAACCAGAATTTAATCAAAACATACATGTTTGTTTAAGCGCAAACGTGAAAAATCGTGTTTTTAAACAAGTTCGAATTGTATTCTGGTTTTTATGACTACCTTTTGTTCAAATTAAAAAATAGTTTTTAAATCGTTCAAAAATTAAAAACAACATATATGTTTACCTTCAAGTTTGTTTTTACAAATGTTTTTCTCCCAAAACATTTATTAATTCTAATTTTAAGTTTTATTTAAATATTCTGGTTTTTTCCTATGTTTTCTTTTAATGATCATGTTTGTTATAAAATAACCACAATTACATATAATAATTATATTAACAAACAAAAACCTAGAAAAATGCTTAAAAATGATTTACTGTCACAACATTATTATTTCTTTTGTTTTATTATTATCATCTCCTTCTTCTTCCCCATGTGGTGAACAACATGGTTCCACTAATTCCGTGTCTGTCTGTTCCTTTTTCTTGTTTTTGAGTCTTTTACAAAATTCAACATAACACAATCTTTTTCGTCTCTCTATTCTTTTTTTTTCAACTGGTTTTGCCCAGCCGTACTGATGTGATGATGTTTTGTTGTTGATGTGACTGACTGACGCGCATCGTTCACTTCACGGCCGACTGTCACCACACTTTTCCAATCTTTTTCCCCTTATAGCTCCTCCCAGCTTATATTTACTGTGTTTTTGTTTTGGCCAAGACTTTATATATTCTTCGAATTTTTTAAATATTTAAAAAAATTTTTTCAATTTAAATTTTTTTTCTGATTCTAATTTATATTAGTCTTCAACTATTTTAAGTTATTCTTACGTATTAGTTTTTTTTAATTTGTATATTCTTTCCTTTTTTTCTTTACTTTATCATAACTGTAGAAAACAGAACTTGATATAAAAAGCATGAACTTAATTGTCAAACATATTTATTGTAAAATTACAAACCTAATATAAAAACAAAATAAAACTTATTACAAGAAAGCCACGCTTAATATAAATTTTGTGTTTTTCAAAACAAGTTTGTTTTAAAGTTGTAAAAAGTTGGTGTTTTTAAATAAAACAAACTTGCAACAAAAATTTTCTTGTTATTTTATTACCAATTTTTAATTTTTTAAAATAAAAAATATTGACTACCTATACTTTGCATAAATTAAATTTTTATTTACAAAATATTTCTAGCCAAGAAATTTTGCTTTTATTTTTTATTAATTTATTTCTTCATTTTTTTGATTTTTAAGGATTTTTATACCCTTAAAAAAATTTTTTAACGGATTATTTAAAGGATTTATATTTTTATAATCCTGCAAAAAACTCGTTTTTTTATTGTTTTGTCCGCAAATTTATTTTGCCATGTCCGCATTTTCTACTCAAAATGCTTGACGTGATTTTTGATGAGTGATGAAAAATAAATAAAAATAAAAATATTTTTTGGAGGGATGTGCGCGCTGGCGTAATAATAAAGAAGAGAAAATTAGTAAATAAATGTAAAATAAATAAAAAAAATAATTTTTTTGGAGAAAGAATGGGGGAGGGATTTTTTGTCGATAAACTGAAGCCGCTAAAAACAAAGAGAAAAAAAAACAGAAAAAACGTGATTATTTTATCCATCTATTTTTTTTGTTTAATTTTATAGACTAATTAATTCTAGTAAAATTAGGTTATTATATTCCTGAAAGATTATTTATCTTATTGTAAATTATTTTATTTTTTTTTGATTTTTAATAAATGATTAAATATGTACATAATTTATATAAAAAATATTTTTTAAAAATTTTATTCGCAAACTTCATTAATAATTAAAATTTTTTGAAAATTAATAAAACTTCATTAATACTTAAATTAATATTTCGTTATTTATTACACATTTCTTTATTTTTTTGATTCTAAAAATTGTAAATCTAATTGCAGGCAAGTTAGTTTCCCTTAACTTCACGAACCAGAATTGAGGTTAAACTCACTAAATTTTATTTTTCTATGTACATATAAATATAAGCAACGATATAGAATTTTGTTGGGTTCCAATTTTAATTAAAAAGATGAGCCACTCATTTTTCTTTAAAAATTTAGGTTGATATGACCCCACTTTAATTCTGATTAAAAATAATTTTAATATTTTTTAGAATTTTTAGTTTTGGTATTAGCCCTTTCTTTTAGTTTCTAGCAACAACTATATAAATTAATAAGCATTTAATTTTCTTATAATGGCCATTTTAAATATTTAAAAACAATTTTTTCAATAAAAACAACACAAAAGTCTTTCATCTTTAATTGCCAATAAATAAACAAATTCACTTTTCTTTTTTTTACAAAATAACCTTCCACTATTTTATTATTAACATCGGAAAGCAACATATAAAAAACAACTATATATTTTATTAAAATAATTTTTAAACATCTGTTGAAAATAAACAAAAAAAGAATTTCGGGGTATTTTTATTTTTGTATTTATTCATATTAAAAATATAAGTATATGCTAATTTTAATATAAAGAAATATGGTAGGGTTTTTCTGATTTTAATATGTAATCAAGTTTTGTAATTTGTAAACTTGAAAACTTAATTTGTAATTTGCCTGTCTTGAAGGGGAAATTGGTTAAGTTGGTATTTATTCTGATTTAAATAGGCAAAGTAGAAATTAAAGTTTTCAAGTTTACAAATTACAATTATTATTTTAAAAATAAAGTTTACAACTTTATTCTGATTTATCTTAAAAACAGAATTGTAATTTGCTTAAGAAGAGAAATTATTTTAAGTTGTCATATTCTGATAATCAGAATTACAATTTGTGTATATAATATTTTAATTTGTAAAAATGTCAATTTAGGCAGTTTTTACTTTAAAATTTTTGTAATTCTTCAAGTTTTTGATGACGTTATTTATATGACGAAAATGACTAAAAAAGTTTTCTAAGTATTTTTTGTTATTTTTATTTTAAGATGTTTTTTTAAATTTTTGAATTAAAATTATATTAATTTTTAAATTACCCATAAAGTTTAAAATCTATAAATTAGTCATTTTTGACAATTTTTTAAATTTATTTATGCAAATACATTTATTTTATTTAATATTTTTGCAGAAATATGCTAGTCTCATCGAGTCAATTAAACAATGGGCATAATGTAAGTTTTTATTATCTGATTGAATTTTTAATAAATTTTGCATAAATTTAGTCTATTAATTCTGATTTTCTGCTGTTTTAATTCTCATTAAATTCTGATTTTATTTTTTAATATTCTGATTTTGTTTAAATTAAATTCTGATTTTTCTAAATCAATGTTCATATTTTATTCTGATTTTTTTACTAGAACAATTCATTACTCCACCGAGCACAAAAACAACAACCAACTAAAACATCTGCTTCACAAACGCTATTAAATAACAACAACATTGCTAATTTCACTAGCAATAACAACAATAACGATTTAATTAGTGGAGAAACAAAATTTCGAAGTTCAAATGGTGCTACAAATAATATTATGTCAAATGCTGTTCCCTCTTCCTCCCTTTCCTCTTCCTCTTCTTCAAATACTACAACCTCTTCTTCATCAGCTCCATCTTCTTCCTCCACTTCTGCTAATTTTGAACCTGAAAGGCCTATTGGTTATGGTGCTTTTGGTGTAAGTTGTATATTTTTTTCTTTTTTCCTGAATCAAATTTTCGAATGTGTCGGAAAATTCTGATTTATAATTTTGATGTTTCTTTTAATGTTTTTCTGATAATATTCATTTCTAATTCTGATTTTATTCTTCTATTCTTTCAAGCTTAAAAATTGTTTTGTTCAGATTTAATTCTGATTTTATTTTTAGGTTGTCTGGAGTGTTACTGTATGTTTGTTTACTTTTTAGATTTTGTTTTATTTTTATTCAGATTTTTACTTAACCATTTCAGGACCCCAGAGATCACCGAAGAGTTGCATTAAAAGTAATTTTAAATGTTTATTTTAATTTCTGATTTTTAATAAAAATAATTTTAAAGAAAATGCCTAATGTTTTTCAAAACTTGGCCTCATGCAAACGTGTCTTTCGAGAACTTTATATGTTATCCTCATTTCAACACGATAATGTTTGTAATTTTTTATTCTGGAATTAAATTCTGAAATTAAAATTTAGGTGCTCTCCCTTTTGGATATTTTACAACCAACAAATCCACACTTTT